CCCCCCTCCCTATTTTGAGACAAGCAACCAGGATCAACTTTGCTTAAGAGCGAACTAAGCATTTCTATGCCCTCTTTTAAGTGGGCAATGAACTAGCTAGCTGCTGTTATTAGCTATTTTTGAATACAATCGCTGATTTTTTTCTAATTTTGGAAAGGCTGCTCCTGTAACCCATTTGGATCAATTAATGGGACCACCTGTGATTCATATACTGGTCAATGCAAGTGTTTGCCCGGTATTTCGGGTCAAAAATGCGATATTTGTCCAGATGGAGAAATTTTGAATGACGAAAAGTGTGAAGGCAAGTTTTTTGCTATATTATACATTGCCAATTGCATTTCCGACTTTATTCTTGTCAGGTGAATTCACGCTTTTTTTTATTTCAGAACCTACAAGACTTCAAGAAACTGACGACTTAACCAAAATTGCATCGTCCCATGGAGTACATTTCACTCCACTCGCTTCGGCGTTTATTCCTTTCAACTCAGATCTTTCACTACCTCTCGAGTTCAACTTTAAAATCATACCATCCGCTAATACTCTTAATGGAAACATCGCTCTTTTCACTTTCCGAAACGCAGAAACCAACGAACTCAATTACTTAAAGCTAGAGATTTCGATGGGAAATATTGTAGCTAGGTTTGTCTAATGCAACAGATTTTCATAAAACTTGAAACGACCTTTTGCTTAAATTCTGTTTTTTTGAAGTTATGTGGAGAATCTGGGATCTCAAATGAAGTGCATCCGCGCGAATAAAATGATTGATGGTTCCCCACTTTGGATCTGGGTCATAGTAACAGAGACAAAGAACCTCCGTATTCGAGTGGCAGATTCAAGGGACTTTAGTGCCTCTACAGGTGAAGATTTAAGGAAGATCAGTTCTCAGGAATACAGAGATTTTATCGATAACAAAGCCACTGGTCTCGTTCTTGGGTCCTCTACTAACTCAGAGTAAGTGTTATAATCCCAGATTTAATGATTAAACGTGATCTCTCATGGACGATCTACCTATAGTACACCGGACAAAATTTACGGATTTTCTGGATGCATGGCCGATGTGAGTGTCCAGAGGAATCCAAAGGTCGGGAAAGTGGAGAAGTATGTCCTCATGTTGAATGGCAAATCTGAAGTGTTGACCTGGAAGAGGCTTCCTAGTGATGGAGTCAAAACTTGTGGTGGGAATGTAAACAGTCAGGTGTCGACATTAGAAGGAAAAAATTTTATGAATTGTGGAGCTCAAAACCCGTGCAAGAATGGTGGGGAGTGTGTATCAGCGGCGAATGGTGACTTTGAAGAATGCATCTGCCTTCCCGGTTGGCAAGGAACTTATTGTGAATCCGGTAATTTTATAATATGAATTTAACTTAATATTTTAGAAAATTCAACCATAGCTTACTGGTTTATTTGGAACACTTCTTTTTCTTTCAAAAAATATCTCCAAAAAGGAAAACTTTTTCCTAAAAATTCATATGCGATTCATAATGAATTGAACAAGACAATGCTAAGTCATAACTCTCCAAACAAGACGATGAATGCATTATGATTTACCTAAAAAGACCTCGAAGACCCCAGTAAAACGCATCACGACTTGATCACATTCGAAGTCACTTTGTAAATTCAAAGTGCTTGACTGGACAAGGAGTGTACGAACTCATATTGCCACATCTCAAACTCTGACTGCCTTGTTACCTCAGGTGCTATTTGGCGATTGAAACTTAATATGCTCATTAACTGACCTGTTAGTAGACTTTCGCAATCTAGTATCAATGCCATCTGTGTAAGAGAACAACTCAGACATACAGCAGGACTACGAGAAGCAATTTTATGGGTTGACGCGTGAATATAAATAAACGAATCAACATATTTCACAATGATGAAAGTCTGATAGATTATTCAACAAACTACTTGTTTACTTAGAAAATATTAGGGCCACAGTACTCAGTATGATTAATGCAACATTAATATTTGATGTTTTCCAGTTAATAAACTCGACAGAAACATCTACAAAGGGATTAAAAACAACTTTTCTTATCTCAGGTCTTCAATACTACTTCACCAAATAGCATTATCATTTTATTTGAAGATGACTGGGAAAATCTCTTGAAAGTCATATTCCGAAACCGTATTTAAACCTCCTAACATTTAAACCGCATGCATTTTTATTTGATAGAGGTGACGATAATTCCGGAATTCAATGGAAACGCGTATGTTCAGTTGCCGGGACCCAAGGGACCAGAGACACTAAATAAGCGAAAAATGCAAATGGAAATCATTTTCTTGAGAAAACAAAATGAGGGTAACTTTTGCTTTTGTTGTTCCTTCAATGACAATCGTTGTTTTATGAATTTAAAGCTGTTTAATAATCCTTTTGACCCCGACGAAAGTAAAGGCAACTACGAAAGATCAAGGGTATGGAAACATTGGTACTGATAAATTAATGAGTACTATTTTTATTCATGGGAATAAAATACTGAAGGACAGAACTGAATTTTATCAAATGGTAACATCAAGTAAACTGAATTTCTTATTTTTTTCTCTTTCTAGGTATCCTATTTGCGATTCCACCCAAGTATAATGGCTCTGAGTTCCTGGTAATCCGCGCCGAAGCCGATGAGTGTGTGAAGGTCTACCTTCGTGTCGGTCGCATCGATCAATTCGCGCGAAGGAATTTCTATGGTTGGCTACGACAAAAATTTGGACCGAGACAGCGTCTATCGATAGCAAAAGTCTGCCGTGTTATTCATGATCAGTGGCACAGACTGATTATTGAAAAGACAGGCGCATACTTGTCTGTCAGCTTTAATGGTCAATTAGCCTCCCGAATACGACTGGTAAGTTTAATTCTTAAAGTGCCTACTGACATCTTGATTAAAGAGATTTGATGAACCATAAAAGCGGCTACTTAATTACAGTACCTTTATAGGATAAAAGTACTCAATATTGTGGGTTAGAACTAGTTAAATCTGAACTCTCAGACGTTGATAAACCTACTTCGGTGTAGACAATTTTCTCTTAAGAAGTATGGTTCCCTTATTCGATTTCCATGTTATCTCACTATTATAATTGGTAAGAGCTTCAAGATCGCAGTATTGTCTTGGCAAGCCGACACTTTAAAGTTTAAACAAAATGTGTCCTTTAACTTGGACGCCTTAAACTTTCACTTGTTAAACGTGCAAAATGTGTTCATTCCTCAAACGAGACTTCGTTAACTTAATTTGGTTGTACGGTAGTTCTCTCTACTCTTTACTCCTTCAAAAGATTCAAATAAATGACAACCACAATAATATTTCAGTTAGTGTTTAGTTTACCCATAAGGAAGGAAGTTAAAGTGAAATTGTACCTAAGTGTACCATTTGTACTACTCTATGCATTCAACCAAATATGCTTTTAGTTAAAATTGAAGTTTTATAATATAGGAACTTATCGACCTACGTTTAAATCACTAACTCAACACAACATTTCATTATATTTCAGTTGCCACAAGGACTACCAAGATCCAAACCAGAATTGCGAAAAGCCGTAAGTTAGGTTACTTTTCTCATCAAACCAAAACCAATCCATTTAACGTAATTAAATTTCTTTTACTTTCAGCTTATGAGTTTCGATCTATCAAACAGTCCAGTTTATCTTGGAGGAATCCCGGAATATGAGAATTATTTCCTCAACGACATTCTACCATCCAAAGAGTCCTTTGTCGGAGCTATTCAAAAGGTCATATTTCAATTATTATCGACCACTTGCCCCATTCAAAGTGAAGTTTGTTAAAATGCATGCGTCTCTTAAAGGTCATTCTTAATGGAGCTGAGCTGATCCTAGCTGGACCCTCGCCGATCCGGGATCATGAAGTGGAATATTGGGTAGGAGTTGTTCAATGGCAAGGAGCACCGTGTGGCGAGAAGTATTCCTCCTGTTCAGCGGATCCTAACTCCCTTCAACACGTTTGTCGGCCTTATATGGACACATATGCATGCGCCTGTTCTACACCTTACACTCACATGTCCATCGTAAGGCAAGTTGTTGCCTCTATGGGAGAAGTCGATTTCACCCACAACGCCACAGCCCTGCGGGAGATTTCACAAAGAGCGGAGGAGATCGCTTGCGAATTCAATGCGGTACGTTCTTATTGGGTCATAAAATGAATAGAAAATTTCTCCTACTTGTCAAAGTATTTGAATTTGAAAGGTTTTAAATTAGTCAATTTATTCAAAAATAAATTATACCATAGTAGCTTTTTTAAAAAATGTCTACTTGTAATACAATAGTTCTAATTTCAATTCAATTAGCCACAAATGCACCAGACCAGATTGTCTTTCGTACAAATATTAATGAAAGAATTATAGAAGTAAATATTAAATTTTTAATTATAATATTATTTAAAAATGCACGCCAAAGCAAAGACTGTTTACCTTAGTCGCGAGAAAACAACCGAAATGGCGAGACAGTATAAAATATATGAGGAAGAGCCTTACTTCAGTGGATTATTGAATTCGGCCTGTAAAATTCGCTCAAAAGTAGGTTCTCTGCTTTCCTAACGACAATACATATTTCATCGTTGGATAATTAACTGATTGATTATGTTAGTCAGTCTAAAAAATTCAGTACAATTTGTGTACAAAAGACAAAAATATCTGATGAATTTTCGGGAATTAAGCCCCCTACCCTCCTGCGTGTTGTTAATATGTCAAATTTGACTGAGGTTTAATCAAACTGAGCTCTCTCTGCAATGAAGGTAGTTCTGTTGAAAAAACCGGTCTATTGTATGAAATATTTAATTTTGCCTGATGCCTACTGGTGCAAATAAGAGAACGGATTGATGTAAAACAATAAACTGCATCCACAATGAACTTGTTTCCATATGCTGATCTCTGAATCATTTTCAGCGAAACTATTTTTTCGGTCAGGAGCTGCCTTTCTAACCCCAGGAAACTCTGTGATTAGAGGCTCTGGCATTGACGGTTATGCAAAGCGTTCATACACAGCTGTATCTATAGTAGCTACAAAAACTTAACATAATAAAGACTGATGTGATACGTGGGTTGACCAAATGCAATCGCAACCTCTTCATATTGCCTACTATTTTTTTCAGGCTAGATTTGTAACACCAGTGAAAGACCTTCAACATGACGATCCACTGAAAGATAACGAACCAGTCCTTTCATTTAAACAAGGGCATCAACAAAGAGAACGACCCAATTCTGCACAAAATACTCCTATTTCGGCCCAAAACAATGCACTCAAATACCAATCGGCAGTCAAATTTGGGGGACAAACTGTGATCAGTTATCGAAATTATGTACCAAAGGAGTAAGAATTTAATTATTTAAGGAAAACATCAACTAATCGTTAACCTATCAACTATGTTCAATAGGTTATTCTGCGTTATCAAAATGATTTACCATTGCGCATAAAAGTTTCATTAATGGATAAGATTAGTATTTTTTTGTAAAATAAATAGACAACATATGCGACATTAGGTTATGTACAAGATTTATTTTATTTGCCTTTTTTCGTTCTGATATAATGATTTATGAACTCCAGTTATCTAAACTCTTTACTGTGCTTTGTATCACCAATTTTTCTTCTAGAGATGACTTTGACAGCATTCGACTTGAGTTCAAATCGGAATCATCAGATGGCATTCTGTTAATGATACCTGATAATCAATACCAATTCAAAGAATATCTATGTCTTTTCTTGATCAATGGCAAATCAGAAGTGCACCTAAATTTAAGAGGATTCGATTCGTCATCGTTGCAGATTCTTAATGTAAAATCCGAAATTAACGTTGCTGATGGCGAATGGCATTCAATTGAAATTATAAGGTACATTCAAGCAAACAATATACGCGATTAACATTCTTTGAAATGCTGCCTTCTATTATGTATTTCTCATTCAGATCTCGAGGAAAGGTGTCGCTTATCGTCGACAACCACTTGAGCTCAGGCGAGCTTCTGAATAGTGATGGAATATTACATAATGACGGCATTGTTTGGCTGGGTAAGTATTCAGAATTGGCTTGTTTAAAAGTGCATTGCTACTAACAACCGCAAGTAGAACTTATTTAATATTCATATTTCTAGGAGGATCCCTGGAGCACGTTGGCTCAATGCCTTTGCATTATCAGCGCAACTTCACCGGATGCGTTTCTACTCTTTTCTTTAATGAGGTCTCTGTTGATTTACTCGGAGGTGCAGATATTCTCTATGGCGCAATTACACCTTGTTAATACTCTTCACGCAGACATATTTGCTTTATTACACTATTTCCATTCTGGAGTAAAACGACATTCTTAGAATTCAGAATTTTATGATCTCTTGTACACTTGCCATACAGCTCTCTAACACTCCATACTTCTTTCAGGACGCACAGAAATTATTCACACTTCATGCACCTTATGAAGTGGATATATTCATTTTCACATAATTGTTGACAACATTTTGATTATCATGATAAAGATTATAAACATTATTGTAAAACTGATCACGGTATACGTATGAATGTTGAAGTCTATTTTATGCACCCATACACATAAATGAATAGGTACTTGATTCGCTATGCTATGTCGAAATACTAATTTTCCTATAGAATGTGGTTTTCTTTTCCATTTGAAGGTCAGCTGAAAAGCTCATTATTTTCAAATCCCTTAAAACAAAATACGCCTTAGTGAGTTCTTCGCGGGGAGAAACTTTTATCGTGAAAATATGGAAGTCAGTTCGGTCAATTCTACCTAAATTTGAAGTCATTATGGTGGCTAGAAGCTGGGTTAATAATGTCGTTTCTCAAACTGGCTTAATAATAGATCGTTCTACCCGGTTATGAATCATGACGTTTTGTTTATACACAGATACAAATGTATTCGGAGCCTCTGGATTATTACTTGGCAAGTGAAATCGCCAAATTATCTTCCATTGCAAAAATTTTTATTCCAAGGCTTTCATGCAATCGACACCATGAATCTTAAAAAGTCATTGAATTGTAGTAAGAATGATAACATGTGGTAGATTTGTCAGCTTCAATCATTGTCGCAAAAGCAGCTTTCTATTTTTGAAATCCGATAATATTTCAAATTCACATATGCGAAAATTGTGACAATTTCAACGAGTTCTTTTCTACTTCATTTCAAATTTACAGAAAAGCTTGCGTTCAAATTTTTCAGGAATAAACAACCATTTTCAAACCTATGATTAGGCAAAATTTCGATATTTCAGACTGAAAATTCAAGGTAATCAGTATAAGCTCCAATTGTTGAGAGGCAAATTCTTTGCAAATTACTAATCCCTTCAATTCAATTTGAACCAAATGAAAGCGATTTAGAGGAGAAGTTCAACTATCCTTTGACATTTATGCGATTTGTAATCTTCGTGCGTACTTCTATCCATCTGCCCTTTACATGTTTTGATAGCTGACGCGTGCAAATCAGAGCGTCACCATATTGATAGCTAGTGATTTCTTCTTAAAATTTTTTCTGTTCCAACTGCCAAGTTTCTGAGCTTTGCAATCGCGTCTTTTTAATCATTGCGCTCCATTGTGCTGGCATTTTTATGGCCCGAACTTAACTTGTTGGCAAATCCAATTAATGGTTAGGTTGATTTTGTGTATAATTGAAGTTTGCAATTTAAGGGTGAACTGGAAAGTAGCGACTAAATATTCCATATAAGTATCTGAAGAGCGTAAACAGTTTTATTATTGAAGAAGTGTAAATGGAATAATGAAAAGTGTGCCTTATTTTAGAATCAGTCTGATTAATGCTTTAATCGCCAGTAGTATCCCTCACCCTTTTTTTTTCAAAATCAGCAGAATGAGAGTCATCACAGGAAGTGGATGGAGAGTGGGGCGAGAGAGGTTGTAAATAGTGAGATCAACTGTCAATCACGCAATGCACCCGGAGCTATAGCTCGGAAAGAGCAGCTGAATACGCCTAGTATGGAATTTAGAAGGATATTTTATTCGCAACCTATCCGCCTAATTCGGGGTCAGCCAATAACTCCAATTGCAAAGAAAAAAATATGTAGCCAAAGTGAGTTTTTATGGATGGACGCGGCAATTATGCAACCGAGTTATAAAGAATGGAGCTTTATTCCATTGCAAATGTGTTTATCGCTAAACCCTTTTGGTTGAACCTATTAAATAAGAAGTATTTCCTATGGTTCTTACTTAAACGACTTTGCTAAGATAATACCAATGAAATTATTAAATTATTTGAATTGATTAAGAAAGGAAGAACAATTTTGCCAAAACTGTGTTACAGTATTCCCTGCCGAAGAAAAGACCAAATCCCGATAATTTAAATGAAGAAGAATAATTACGCCTTTGTGCCTTTTTCAGCCAATATAGCCAAAAAAACAGGACCTCTGTTAATTTCATCTTCAATGTGTTTTCTTGGATGTTTTCTATCAAGCCTTTTAAAATCGTAATTGTGATATAACCTCCATTTCGGTTTTTATCCGATAGTTTTCTGCTGAAGTCCGTATAAACTAATCATCATGGTATTCAGAGCAGCGTGGATAAGAAACGAATTTCCCAATTTCGCAATTTTCTGAATCTTATTGCACTTTTTACACAAATTATCCATTTACTTTTGAATAAATTGATGTACGAAGAATTCAAGACATCCAATCCTACATATTCGGAAGTCTTTATCACTTAGACAGAATTGATAAAGTGCCCATTCAAGTCTTCAATGTCGTACTTCCGACGATAAGATGAATCCTTTAATGAAGATAAGAGGATTGCTTACTTTGGCCGTAAGTGTGTGTGTGTGTGGAGTGTTGGAAGAGAAAAAACGAAAACTTTCTCTTTTGAGGAGAGCATTCTCCTCTCGATTGGTGATAGTGATGACTAAAACCCATTTTGTACCCTAAAAAGGTACCATTCTCTTCATCCCACCCCACACCCATCACCCACCAGCTTCTCAACTGAATTTGACAATTGGTTTCCAAACTCCAAGTCCACCAAGGCGAGCTCAATTAGCGCTTCCACTTTTGCTGAGTGCATTTACTCGAATTAGCAAGAGCATAGCTATGTTCTCATTAATAAACACTGTCAAAATATGCATTAATTCAACTTGATTTTGTCAAGGTTAATACAAAATGTGAAGCTATTTAATTCATTATTATTTTTCATTCACAAATTTTAAAACACATTTTTTGCTTCATTATTACAGTGTAAACTAAAAGGGTTTCTGGTTTGGTAAGGACATTGCCTAACTAAAAGGATTACTATTAATTTTTTTCAATTTCATGAATAGGCAAAAACGTCCAATACATTAAAAACCGCTGTACTCTGATGGCATATGTAAGAGGACAACATCTCCCCTAATGGTAAAAATTATTCAATTTTTTTCTACTTGAACTTCTTGGCTTGTAGTGGCAGAATATTATGGCTTCCACTTCCTAATTTCATTGCAAAATTTGGAATAGATCTACCACACTTATTAATTGTCATTTGAACAAAAGTACGTTTTGCCGAAAATTTCGGTCTTGCTTTTGTTTTTTTTCTTACATTTATCCAAATCGTGGTCAGTTTTGTAAATTAAAACAAATCTCGGAAACCATAGTAATCGATTTTCTCTTAAATTAGCACTGACTATTGCAGCCGTGTTGAGAATTTCTATTGAAAGTTACCAAAATTAGGTAGAATAAGTGCAATAGATTTATTTCAGAGAACTAAAATTTGAGCGTATCATTTTCATCAGCAATTTATTTTCAATTTAGGACCTTGCAAATATTTGACTTAATTTTTTTAAGTTTCAACATATTTTAAAACCCTTGAAAACGTGCACTTGGGGATTTTGGAAGACTTGTATGAAATATCAATTGATTTTGAACATTTTACAATTACGTGGTTTCCACTCTGAAATCCCAGGACTGCAACCTCACAAAACTGGAGCTCATTGAACTGCAAATGTTCCCCCCCCCTCCACTTATGAGTAATTGATCAATTGTCTTTTGCCTTAAACTGCAAGTACATCTGATCATATGCAAAATCTACTTTCATGCCAAATATGCAAAGAATTGTGACATATTGCTATTCCTCGACGTAAGGGTAATTTGTCACAGTATGCCTCAATAGGAAGCTGAGAAAATATAAACGACTACATATGGTTATGTCAATAATGTAACAAAGTTTACCATTCAATAACCCTCAAGTTAAGACTGTGTGGGCACCAATTTAGCTTTGAGGAGAAAAATTCCGACGTTGGAAATGCCATTACAGCTATTTATCCCGAAACCCGCATTGCTAACTTGTTTAATTTCCACCTACAAAAATTGCAGATCAAGCACACTGTCTAGATAAAAATTGATATTCCAAGCAATTTTATTGGTATTTCATTGTGATATTCAATCTGAACAAATGACTTACTAAACCGAAACAGTGATAGGTTCTTTCTGAACCGAGGAAAGGACAATGCAGAAAATTTGAATATTGCAAAGAGAGTCGCATCGGTCAGGGGTATGAATAGAAATAGGGCTTATTCGCGTTGCATCACAACACGGCTCCTGTTTACCTGCTGTAAAAGAGAGTAGGACGATACCTGCAGAAGGTGCAACTTGGACAAGGCGCGCGCACGCTAAAAGCTTTTTTGTCATGGTTCATGGACAAACAGAATAATGTTCATAATACTATCGCCTAATTGAATGGGGGAATATTTTTCATCCAATTTTCCGCTCTGTTTTGAAAGCGGGGCCGACTAAAGGTTAAAAAAACAAATTTTTAATTTAAATTCTGCTCTGTTAGGCCTAGCTTTTGAGGGTTTGGAGGGGTAGGGCTCAAAACACTGGCCAAAATATTTTATATTTGCCTATAAATAATGGCGTAAAGCTATATTCGGTCTCCCGGGCCATATCTGATAAGACTAAAACGAAAATGACCATTCAGGCTGCCTAACGTAGTAAAGAATTACTTGTAAGTGGCCGCTGCATTTACGCGATTTCTTTTATATCTAATGTTGTCTGAGATTACACGTCACTGGAATATCTAAGAGGCCAAATAAATTTTTAAATTAATTATTAATTAATAAATTATTAAATAAGATGTTTGTATAATATCTATCGACTAAGTTTACTGCAAAGTACTGACAACCGCATTTTTCTCAAGACACGTCCTAGAAATATGACTAGCTAAAATTTCATTGTGCAATAAGGATTGACTTTCGGGAGATTTGCTGAGAGAAAGGAAAAATAAATTCATTAGAAAGTGGAAGAATCACAGACAGAAGGTATGATA